GAGAGGGTAGAGCAAAGGCCCCGTGTCACTCACTCCTTCGACAGGATTTCCACTTGCCCGTACCGCGGTCCGTTCTCATCCTTCGGCTCGTTCCACAGAATCACCTCCTCGCTCTTGGGGACCTTCTCGGGTCGGTGCAGTCGTGTCAACCCGTCAACATTCCCGTGCCTCTCGTGCTTCCTATGACGAATGTCAAAGTCCATGCTCTGCAGCACCGTCGCCCATCGTCCGATCATGCCCGAGTAATCCTTAGATTTCTTCAAGGTTAATAATGGCTCATGATCAGTCACCAGCGTGAACTTCCGCCCATACAGATAGACTCGAAAGTGACTGATTCCCCACAGAACCGCATAGCATTCTCCTGTCGGGGCGGCGTAATTGCGCTTGCAGGCAGGCACCGACTTAGACGCGTATTCCACCACGTATTCGAGCTCGCTCGGTCCCACCTGGGCCAAGATCGCTGAAATCGCTTCCGGCTGCCAGTCCGTGATGAGGACAAAAGGCTTTTCGGGATCCGACCTTATAAGGACCGGGGCCGAAATAAGAGTTGCCTTGAGTTTTGAAAACGCTTGATCACACTCCGACGTCCAAATCAACGGTTGATCCTTTTTCGACAGATTTGTGAGGGGACCCGCAATCGCCGCGAAGCCCTTCAGTAGTAAGAGATCAGGCCCAGAAAGGCGCGAACTTGCGTGATAGTCGTGGGCACAGGGGCGTCTCTCACAGTTGCCACCTTTTGAGATTCCGGTCCGAGTCCCTGGTCTGTCACCACGTGTCCTAGGAAGGAAATGGTGGTGAGAAAGAACTGGCATTTCTCAAGTGCCACCTTGAAACCGACATCCCTCAATGCATGCAACGTCCATTCGATGTGCTGCACATGCCCCTCATAAGAACTCGAGTACACCAGAACATCATCCATGTACACAATCACGCAACAGTTAATGATACTCTGCGCCAAACGTGTCTTCCGCACAAAGTTCTGGAAAGCCATGTTCATGGCTCGCTGAAAGGTTGCAAGAGCATTGCAGATGCCCAGTGGACATCGAACTCATTGCCAAGTACCTTCGAACAACACAAACGCCGTTTTCGGACGATCCTCCTCTCGAACAAGCAGATGATGAAACCCATGTCGAACATCAAACTTACTGAAAAATCGAGCACTCCTAATCGCATCCAACAACTCATCAATCCGGGGAAGGAGGTACACATCTTTGATCGTGATATCATTCAACTTTCGATAATCGATACATATGCGAATCCCTCCGGTCTTTTTTGGCACGATTACCACCGGAAACGACCAAGGTCCTATAGCGGGTTCGATCCATCCATTTGCTTCGAATTCCTTAATTCGTTGAAACGCGGCGGCCCGTTGGGCTGGCGAGTACCGATAAGGAACGCAACTAATGGGTGGATGATCCTCCGTAAGGATGGCATGCTCAATCACGTTAGACAGCCCAATATCGTTATCGTGCAAACTTAATACCTCTACGTACCCATTCAAGACGTTAATCAGCGATTTTCGAAATTCCAAAGGGACGTGATCGGGCAGAGTGGAAGTCGGTCGATCGGGTATCTCAAGGGGCATATCGATCCAATCAGCAGGCTGATTCCGTCGGTCATGGACGCTAGAGAAAATAGAGCTGCTAGTGTGGACAGAAAATACAGTCGCGATCATTTGGGATTCAGCAGGGCTAATTATCTCGGTCTCTTTAATTTCGGCGTCAGTTTCCGAATCAGCCATAGTTTCTTCCACGGTTAGTCCTGTTAAATCCACCATTTCCTGCATTAGATCGGGCACATCGTCGATGGGAACTTCGGCTTCTCGTTTTATCAGAGCGATGGTCGCTCCTGTTGTAAGCAGCGACCTTGGAGGGGAAACAAAATCATCCAGGTATTGTTTCACCTGCTCATAGCGCGCTCGGAGGGAAAGTGTTCCCTCGTACAAAGTGCGAGGGGGTTCCAAATCGTCTGCTAGGTCAGATATTTGCAAGATGGGTTCCCCGAGGAAGGTCGAGGAACTGACTTGGGCTTCCATAGGCGCGAGCGTGTTATCTTCCATACTCAAGTGAAAAGTTCGTGTGGTTCTGGGAACCATCCGAAATTCCTCTTGAGTTTCGTGCTCGAAAAGTTTGACCAAGTGTTTCCACTCACTCTCACTAGACATCTTTTCTTCGCACTCTTGCCACTATTATCCGGAGATGGAAATTCCTCGTGATCGGGACCTTGAATCATCCCTATCCGAGCAGAATCATGATGCCTTTTTACTGCCCGGGTGGAAATCCGCAACGGAACTGTCTGAGGCTTTCCACTTGTTTGCATAAGCACCAACTGTTTGGAATCCAAATGCATGCGGGCACCTACCGCCATTGCCCAAGGCAGTCCCAACAACACCGAATATGAGTGCGCATCTATGACCAAGGCGTTAACTAGGACGTGCTCTTGTCCAACTTTCACGGCCACATTCTCAATGACTCCTACGATATTCATTGCTTCCTCGTCAGCCGAGACGTAGTTGTCTTTGCCAGTTTGAGGGAGAATCGAGTTGAGTCGTCCCGTTCTTCTCATCGTATCTAATGATATAGCGACTACGGAGGACCCAGTATCGATGAGGGCATTAAAAGGTTTGCCCCATACTTCACAATCACATTCAGCACTTTTCCATAACACTGGTCGAGCTCGCACGAAATGATCTTTCTCAGCTAAAGAAATCGTAGCTACTCGCGCGGCTTCGGGTTCATCAACTTCGGGTTCAGGCGGTGCAACACCCTCTGCTTCTTCCTCCTTCTTTTCAACATTCGTTGTATGCGCTGGTATGTAAAGCGCTTTTGATTCTTCTGACATTGTTGCAGCAGCTTGTCATTTGCAGCTTCAGATATGGTGAACAAATGTCCCACTGGGACCGGAACACGAATGTCCAGTTGCTTGAGCGTTCGTAGCACATTAATTTTTCCCGTCTGAAACTGTGGTCCAGGGTTAGATTCGCGCTCGACTCATTCAAGACCGTCATGAGCCGGTCGGATTGCTCCGACCATGCCGGCGAGATGAAGGTATTCGGCCAGATCAACTACATCATCAGCTTCGGAAGAAGAAGTCCCCGAGGTCGATGCAACTGCAATTGAGGGGGAAGGTCGCTCTGGGGCGTAAGCGATGATCTCCTCATCTCGGACCCTATCCATTAGTGCAGCTACTCGTCCTTGATTCAAAGCTACGGGGGTTGCGGCAGGTGGGGGCTAGTTTCATTTTGACTGCGGACAGTCCCGGCCGAAATGCCCGGGCTGTTTGCAATTGTAACACTCAATCCTCCCTGCCAAGTTAGCTGCATGAGGGAACTGCGGTGCATGTCCAGGTGCAGGCGGGGCGGGCAAAAGCGGGAACGATGCAGGGGCAGGTCGAGCAGGAGCCGGGTTGGGCTTATTCAGCCTGCTCATAATCTGTTTCATTCGATCCATGTGAGCCGCCTGCATTTGGACCAGATTGCTCATCCATTCACATTTCTTGGTAGTAGCTGTATGGATCATCTGTGCCAAGTGCATATTTGTTATGGACATAGAGGCAGGATCTTGGGAGCTTCTGGGGTTAACAGTTGCTACCTGTTGGTTCATTGAGCGAGTCAGAGGAGGGGGAGAAGGAGCTAGCGGGATATCAAAGGCGAACCTTTCACGAAGGTCATGATCAGGCCGGGGATAGAATCGTCCTACCGCTCGTAACCACGATCGTCGTTTCACCGCTACATCCTGAATCGTGTCTGTAATGTCTTCGTCTCCCAGAATGAAATACTTATTTGTATCCGTCAGGTCTAACTCAAGCGCTTTGGCGATGATAGCGGATAACTCGTTCGTTTTAGGGGGAACCTTTTTCTGCAGCTTAGCTTTTAGCGTTGGATTTCGTAGATGATTGATGAACAAGTCTCGGGCGGAATTTTCATCTCGCCCTGATTTGTCCAGCGTAGTTTGGAATCGATCCACGAAGTCAGACAACAATTCCCCTGGTTCTTGCGGTCGAGTTTTGAGTACATACCAAGCAGCGTCTTCGCTGACCGTATCAAATCTGGTCAAAAACGCTCGCTTGAAGCTATTCCAATCTACCCATCTGTGTTTCCTAAACCAATCATGCGTCGTGTTGCGAAGCAGCAAGGTGATGACGCGGGGTAGATCTTCCGCGTTATAACCTTGAGTTTGGACGGCTTCCAACCAAGCTTCGGGGTGGGTGTGATTCGGAAAGAAAGGAAAAGCGGCGGGAATACTAAAAATCACCCTGGGGGGTGCTGCGTTGCCGTCGGCCATTGGCATAGCTCGTCTAGCCTCGCCAAATCTTGATCTAGTCACCGGGTGATCTCGATGAGCAGGTTGAGGACTTCTTCTACCTCTCGTCAGTTCGGCTTACTATCATCAGAACCGACACGAGTCGGCTCCGATACCAACCTCACGCCCTGTGCTGTCTTCCGTTCGCAGTGCTAAGGGTGCGGAAAGAAGGCCCAGGAAAACAGCAAGATGGGGTGTGCCAATGATTTTTGGAAAATTGAGTGTGGGGACACAGACAGAACTGAAATCCCCCGTGTTGGCCCGATGAAGTAAGTCGGTTGCTTTCTCGCGTCACGGAATGCGCGCGCGGGCACGGCGCGAAAAGAGAAAAATCCAAATTCAATCCAAAAAGTATTGTCGAACTTCCCACCGCGCTACGGCTCTTCGTTTAGGGCGAAAGGACTTCGGTACACTCTTCGTGTCTCGTTTCCGTATCAAGTCCCGACGTCGCTCGTTGGTCAGGTCCGAGTCCGACGTGGAGGGTCTCAGCCGCGTGGCTCTTTCCTTGTGCTCGTCTTCACTCCGTATTCGGTAGTGGAAGCCCTTTGATTTGTAGCGGTCGAAACGTTGGCACTCAGTGTATAGGGTTTGAGGCCAATGGGGTGCCACTGCCGCCCACAGAATGACGATCAGCTCGTTAAATGGCAACAATACTGAGTAAAGCGGGAAGTGCGTATTGACAATGACAAAGTCCGTGTCCACGAATCCAGAACAACGATTTTCGAGAGGGAAGTAATATCGTCTGCCGATCCGTGCGACAACCTCTCGTACGTCCCACTCGCAAACACGTGTCCTTTCCTCGTTCTAAGGGAAGGGGCGCGTTGGCGTGGGAGACACGGGAGGTTGGCGCCCAATCGAGGTGTGTCTGTCACTCCACATGTCAATCAATTGAAATGAGTTTGAAAAAACCACGAGACGTCATCAAAAAGCACAATCGTAAAAACCAACTAATATTTTCCTTCCTTTCGACACGAGAGAAGCATTTTACAGAGTTCATACAACCATGCAGTAATCGGGTTGGAGTTTCGAGGGACCAACCCGCGACTCAGGTTCAGTAGGCCAGATCGACGTAAATCCGAGGCTCCTTGCTCTTTCGAGGCTGCACCGCAGACTGGCTGCAGATGTCGTGCAGTATAAGGCAGATGGCATGTGCAGTGCATTCAGAACGACAAATCTAAACACTCTCGCATTCTCTAACAAGATCCCGTCGAGCTCTGGGTCTAACCAAAACAATATTCACATACAAACATTTTCCTTTCTATGCATACATCCACTGTGGAAGGTGCGAAAATGACAATGGTGCAACTCCCTCCCCAAATCAGAAATAAATCGGGGGATAGTACACACGCATCCACCGTTCACAAGACAAGATGATTGAGTTCCTTGGCATCCGGGGATTACCCAGGAAACTAATGGAAGAGTTCCGGAAGAAGTTCTTTTGCGCAGGAAATCACAAGGATTCACTTATGTTCTCAGGAGAGACAGACTCATACCACATCATCATTCAGATCAAAGAGAGAAAGGGGAGAGATGGGCGAAAAATGTCGAGACAGGAGACACTGGGATCCGAAAAGAGAACGTTCGGCTTCGCAGCCGTGAACTCACTCCAAAGAAAAATGATCCACAACAGTGAAGGCGCATTCGCAGTGAAATTCTAATATGGCCTTGGGTCAATCATCCACTCAACTCCAATTACCGATCCTCATACCCTCACCGACGATCCCGGTCGTCGCGTGCTAACTTCCGCCGCTGCGATCGTCACCCCGCTGACGCAAGCTCGACTTGACTCGCCCGGATCCCGCAGTCTGTCGTGGCGATCAAGCGCGCAACCGGCCAGCCTACAGTCAGCCCGTCAGGACTTTTCGACTCGCACCAAACGCATCACCTAGCCACTGCTTCCCGGAAGTTGGCTTGCAAGTTGAAAATGTAAGAGAGATTTGCGGGCGCGCTTGCGGAATTTATAGTTGCAAGAAGGAAGACAGAAGGAAGAGAAGGCGGAGGGGAAATCGAGGTGTAGGAGGAAAAGATTCTGCGGGGGGCGCTCAAGGGAAGCCATGTTGATCCTTCGGAACCCAATGTTCAACCAATCAGATTCGTCGCGCAATAGGAAGATCCTCTTACTCAACGCGTCTGATTGGTGAGCGGGGGTAATCGAAGGATCGACCGGTTTTCGTGAGCCAAGGTTGAAGGGCGAGAAGGAAAGAGGCGCGAGAAGCAGCGCGAGACGGGTCCAAGATTCAGATGATCAAGAAAGGAAAACAGGCGCGCGAAGAGCAGAGAGAGGGAAAACAGTTGCGATAGGGGAAGAAGAGGAGGGGGAAGGGAGAGAGAAGAGAGCACGGGGGAAGAATGACGCGGGAAATAAGGAGGAGGGAGCTCGTATGAGCGGCGCCGACAACAAGAGAAAAAAACACCAAAACAGTTACAGCTTGCCTATGTCCTAAACCAATTCAAAAATTGAAATCACCATATCCGCGCGCGAAAGTCAACGAGGGAAAAAAAAGTCCTATGCCTATCCGTATTCTCACAAAATTCCTAGAGTTTTTTCCGACGTGACCGAGAATATTCATGCACAAAAAAAAGACAGATCGGGTTCCGCTTATTCCGAAATTCCTAACTGTCGAACCCGATTCCTAGTGCGCTTGCTAAGGCGCACGCAATTTCCCATGCATTTCCCGAATTACAAAAAGCAAAATTCCAAGAATCAATAGAACCTCCGAAAAATGGGGGCCCAAACAAGGCACCAGAAATCAAGGAAAGCGACAGGGGCTTTGTTGGGCCAGTATGATACAAAAGAAGGAATTGAGTCAAGGGGTACGAAAGATAAGACGGGGTCGGGAAGTGGTTCGTCACATTCCCGTAACGTCCGCCGCCACCGTCCGCCCGGGTTCAAACCCCGCGCGCCGCAAACTGTGTGATCACCATCAGAAAGAAAATTTTCGCAGCCGAAATCTGACAGCGCAACCAGTCGGGCTGGCGGATCTTGCTGCTTCGGCCCTCTGCCAGAAGCAGCCAAGCGCTGCTGCCGCCCGCAATGATTGCAGCCACCACAATGCTGCTTTTCGCCTGCTGCAGCTCCGTGGCGCCCGTAATGATGGCGGCCAGATCTTCTTCACTACTTTCCCAAGCGGGAAAGTACAGCACCGTCCGCCACCGGACAGCGGGATGACCACGGTGGGTAGGCGGGATCAAGGATCGATCCCGCTCTCATACCAATGTAGCGGACCCACCGGGTGAGGTGCTCCGCCTGGGATACAAACGGAGATGGAGGATGAGGGAGGAGCGAGATGGCACAGCGCAGCTCCCACGCAAGACTCCAATGCACGTACTCCAAAATGTGCGAATGCAGAATGAATCGGAAAACAGACAACAGCTGGGGTATACCCCATCGGACTGACTGGACTGGACGGGACTGGCTGGTACCGACAGAGGTACCGGCCTGGACTGGACTACCCTGAATACAACACAGGCCTGTGAGAACAGGCTAAGGGGCTGGTCTCACACGCCAACCAGAGGTCCGCTACATTGTGCAGCAGGATAGCGGTTCCCTCTCTGGTGCCGTTCGCAGGCGCCCAGAACTGCGGCACAGGCCACCACAGTCTGATGTCTTGGATTTTCTGCATATCTAATTTTGTTTCTTGCAGACAGGCAAGTTGCACGTTTGTTGTGTGGAGGTCTAAAGCTAACCTCTGTCTTTTGTGTCTGTTGTTGGTATCTCCTAAACCTTCAACATTCCAACTTAAAATTCTAATTTTAGTGGGAAGGACCATCAGAGGGGTCCTTGCCGCCTAGTTCTTGGATGCGGTTTGAGCCTGGTACTCGAGTAGAGCCATCTACTGGCCCCTATTCTGTTTCTGCCTGGGACAGGCTTACCTGCTGGACCACCATCCTAAACCAGTCTCCAGCAATCAGGGAAGAGGCTTCCACCCTGCATAGCCAATCAGCGACCACCTTGGCCGGTAGGCCGGGATCTAATCGGATGGCTTGCAAAGAGTCAGCTTTCTGTAAGACGAAATCCTGGAGTGGATACCAGAGCATCCGCCCTGAGCACCAGGGGTGGAATGCCACTGTGACCTACTTCAGGCCTAAGGGCATAGCCACACCACTCTCGAAATGTGCAAAATGAGAATGAACTTCCCCCTCGTTCGGAGCTATGCGACGGCCCATTCGGGGTTCAGGTAGCAAAGCACACATCCCCGTGACAGAAAGGTCTTGTTGCATCCAAAAAAGGTATTTCTGCAATGAAAGGCCCTCGCTCCACTACTCTCGAAATGTGCAAAACGAGAGTGAATCTTCAGCTAGAACATGGAAAGATACACCGCCATGATTTTTGTCTTTTGTGCATATCGAGAGTAGTGAAGCGAAGCCCAAAGTAGGGTATTGTCGGGATCAGGAAGGTACTTCTGCCATGAAAGTTCGTTATGAAGGTATAAGGTATATTTGCCGGGAAAGATAAAAAAAGCCAGGTAATTCTGCAATTTCATGGCTCTTCTGCAATTTCATGGCTGGCGTTTTGGTCTAGGAGGGGGCTCGATGTCGTGGTCAATTGGCATGAACATGATCTTCTTCTTCGACTGTGTTAATACTGACGTAGCATGCATTTCCGCCGTTCCCATAACTGAAGCAGGGATGCGTGAGTCCGTCCGGTCGACTGTTCTAAGCACGCGGTGTGACCAATGCCTCCTTCGTAGGATCCCCAGCCTGATCGTGGTCACTGGTGCAGGCGCTCAGATGAGCCCAAGCAAACCACGTGTCGATGTGGACGATGCTGCTTTGGCGAAGTGCGGCAAAAATATCTCTCGAGCAGTGTACCTGTACCTTCCCACGACTCAAGTTCCTGATGTACTTCACCGATCATACGAGGACGGTTCTTCTTGTGTGTTTTGTTTCTCCTTCTGGTTTCTCCCGCCATAATTCATGCAAATCTCTTTGAGATTGTTCTGCACGGCACGACCTTTCTGCCGCGCGTTTTTTTTTCACGATCTACGGTGCACATGGAGTGAAAGCCGGTTCCAGGGTTGTCCGCAGATTTTTTTGCCCCCCCAACACCCGCCAACAGAATGTCAAAGAAGTTTGTCGGCTTTCGTTTCGAGTGCCCAATTGTTATTGTTATTGCTTCCCGAGAAGTGAATCACGGTCGATTTGGTAAAAAAATAATGAAATGAATTTAAAAAAGCGCGGTCGATCTGACGTTTCAGACCCTTTCACCACATGAAGCCGATTCCGTGCGATCGTCGTTCCTCCCCGCCATCGGCGCCATGTGAATGAACGCCTTTCGATTTCACGATGGAGATCGTTACACCCCAGGACGCTGATCGTTCTTCTTACTTTGCCGCCGCAGACACCAATCTACGGTCCAAAACAAAGCGCGCGCGTAGTGCGAGGTGCGAGGCGAGGCGGTCTCCAACACGAGAGGAAAAACTGCCTATTGCGAAGTGCCGACGTGGCATAAACATAAACGCGCTCCGGACGTCCCGCGCCTACCCGAGCTGCCCGCACGTGTGGCGGAGAGGGGTTTCGGTGGACGGCGGGTAATGACCAACGAAACGACTGATTGATTGGAGGGTCCGTGGGAAAGAAGTTAAAAAAAAAAATCGAAAACTCTGTTCTGTACCATATTTCTTTTCTTTCATTTCCTTTTCTATAATAATAATAATACGGTACGGTAGCGTACAGAATTTCGTTACAAAAATTTGTATGTTTTTCTTTTCCTTCTTTCCTTACTGCCTCGCCTTCTCCCGCCCTTTCAAACCTTTCCCTCTCCTTCGCGCCTTCGCGCCTTCGCGCCTTTGTGGGTCGAGGTCCCGCTTTTCCGGATCGGATTCTTCGTCTCTGGCCGTTGATCTTGCTAACCTTACGGCCGGCGGGAAAACGAAAAATCGCGGCGGCAAGTGGGACCTCGCCCCCTCCGCTCTCCACTCTCCACTCTCCACTCTTGACTTCGCACGTTTTCCGGACTCTCAGCTGCTTCAGCGCGCTCTGAGGTTTTGAATCTGAGGTGGCAAAACAGAAAGCGGGAGCAATTGCGAAGTAGGCGCGGTAACGACGTTGTTAAAATTTTGAGAGAGTTTTGGTTGGGCGGGAGGAGGGACTTCAGTGTGTCTTTGCAGTGTGGTCTGTTCGCTCCTTTTTACGTCAGAAGGTCACAGCTTTTGTATGTACACACAGGGCAGATGTGCCGCCCGCGGGGAGGCGGAGGGTTGATTTTGACTTTGCGGATGGAAGCTGGCGGGATGTAAGTTTGTAACAAAGCCAAGGGTGCATTTTTAAGTTGTCCGGATGCAAATTTGTACAGGCGAAGTTTTTTTTTCATTGTTGTTTTCCTTTTTTTTTTTTCTTTTTTTTTTTTCAAGAAGAGGTCTTCACTGCTGAAATCATTCTTTCCATCCGATTTTCGATGGGATTGGCACTCCTGATCTGTTAATTAATATTTATTACGTGTGTGTAGCTGCGCAAGTTTGTAGAGAATTGTGAGGTTAAGCGATCAGCGAAGTTAACGTGGAGCTCAACGTCGCATACGCGCGTGACTTCTTTGGAACCCAAGGGTCTATTTTTTCTTAAGACATCTCTCTCGTAAGCTCCGACGGGTTTTCGAGGCTTCAGCTGTCACCCAAAGCACGAGGCGGTTTGGCATGGAAGCTGCCGGTATCCTTCGTTAGAACTGAACAAACACCGAGTAGAAAAAAAGGAGGGTAGAAAAAAAGGAGGGATTTTGCCATGCGGGTAAAGAAAGTCCGGGCGTTTAGAGTCAAGGTCGGTGGGCGAAAAACAAAAGACGAAATTGAAATTCGATGAACCCAAGACTCTTGCTCGATCAGTGATCGGCAATCCTACGGTCAATTCTTGATCCTGCCCTGAAATTTCCGTTATTTGATGTCCTCATACGCTCACTGAGCTCCGGTTCTTCGAGAATATGCTCTCGTGGCACTAATTGCCACACAGATGAACGCTCGCACTGATTGCTTGGTTGGCCGTATTCACACCTCGCTCGATTGATTGGGAATATTGATCGATTGATTGGGAGTATTGATCGATTGATTGGGAGTATTGATCGATTGATGGCACCCTGACAGTGTGGTTCGTTTGATCGATCGCATGAGGAGCACGCGGCTGACGGATTTTTGACTGATTGATCGACTATATGCAGGCGCACACGAACCAGTTGATCGATTTTGTTGAATAATAATTTGATTGATTAATTGATTGATGGATGAATAGGATTGAAAATGATCGATCGCCTCTTTCATTCCCCGATCGGTAAGGAGATCAGTCGTACGGCGGTTGACGAGAAAGGAAGGAAAGGGACCGATTGATATTCATACAATTTGAGATATAATTGTTACCAGAAAAAAATAGATTTAATCATATTGCCAATTGGCTGTATTAGACAAGCTGGGGATTATGGTTGTGCAAGGGAGGGGGAAGGGGAAGGAAAGGGAGAATAGAAGGTGATGGGAAGCTGAAAGAAGCGAGGCGGCGTAGAACGAGTATAGTCAATTCTAGTTTAGTGAAGACTGACAATTTCGATTGCTGGAAGGCAAGAAGAAGAAGAATAGTGAATAGTGAATAGTGAAAGAGGGGCCAACTGCCTTTCGTACACGCTTCAACAGTTCATCCATACACAACCGCGCATACTCATCTCAGCTAACGCGCATAGAAAGGAGCAGGAGACGAAGAAGAGGAAGAAGCGACTCCTGGAAGACGAAGGGGAACAAGAATAAGAAGAAGAAAGAGAAGGAGAAGGAGAAGGGGACGAAGAGGAAGAAGACCTGCAGCAGGATGTGGCGAGCTGCGACTCCTGCTGCTTCTTGTGCCGCGCCCAACCTTTCTGGACCGACAGTTTGTGGGAAAGAGTTAGCCGCTCGAAGCAGCAGTAACAGCCACCTTGGGGGTGACGATAGTAGTCTGGCCCACAGATCTCATACACGTGGCGTCAGTGGAGGGCAGCATGTCGTATTGTTGCATGGAAGAGCGGGGGGCTGCAATACTGGCACCTGTGAGTTTTTCGTGCGCTGCGATGGAACGTATGATTACGGCCGGAGTTTCGCGGTGAAACATCGCCGTCGTCGCCTACGGACTGCCTCTACGTTGCAAATCTCTCGAATCTCGTACGCTGTCACTCACATGCATGTCTACCACCATCCACCTCGTGGAACGCGTTTGCCCCCTCGACGGCATGATTTTTGTTCTCGTCATCATCATTTTACGGATCGGTGTGAATATCCTTACGCTCGTCATCGACCTTTTGGCGCGCTTGTCGAGGGTCCACCTCAGCTTCGTGTCTCGTTGGCCAACAGTAGTGACCCGTTAAGAACTCGTAAATTTGCCTTACGCGACAGTTTTCAACTTGAAATTGCCTTCTCCGCTTCACTTAAACCCTCCCTTTCTTCTTCTTCTTCTTCATCTTCTTCTTCGTCTACGTACACCTGTACATCGTCTTCGTCTTCCTTCTTCTCCTCCTGCTGCGACAGCTCGGCGCGCTCCGTCGGATCAGCGGGCGGGTTAGCCTCTGCGTGCCACGTGCTTAACTCGAATGCGCCTTTAGATCGGCGGCAGGGTTTGCATTATTTCTTGCGGTTTGAACCTGGATTCCATTGGCGGGGGGGAGGGAGTTTCCTTTGCCGAGCAGTGAAGGGGAATCGGGAGGGGGATATAGGAGAAGGAGAAGGTGATGAGGTCTCGAACAAGAGGGAGGAGGAGGAGGAGGAGGATAAGGAAGATATCAAAGCAGCAGACGGTTCTAAAGGTGGGGTCGAGATGGACGACGACGAAGCGGAGAGTGTGAACAAGGATGTCGAGGGAGCGTTACCGGACGCCGAAATCCCGCCAACGTCAGACGGATTTCTACGGAAAGTATCTTCTCCAACATATAGACTCGCCAGTCAACTAGAGCAAGTTCTCGAGACCAACTACGACGGTACGTATATCGTATTTTGACTACTTTTTCTCGAATTTGTCGTAAACTTAACTGTATGTTCGATTATTTTGGTGTCAATTTTCTTTTTTCTTTCGTTTTTTTAGCGTTTTCTTGAGTACAAACGTAATCTCTCTCTCTCTCTCTCTCTCTCTCTCTCTCTCTCTCTCTCTCTCAAAGAAGCTGCCGGCCGTCTGCACCTGCATGGCCAAGGAGGCGTGATGGATGATACTACGTAGCATTTTATTACCAAATTATGACGGTCTCTCTCTCTCTCTCTCTCTCTCTCTCTCTCTCTCTCTCAAAGAAGCTGCCGGCCGTCTGCACCTGCATGGCCAAGGAGGCGTCATGGATGATACTACGTAGCATTTTATTACCAAATTATGACGCTCTCTCTCTCTCTCTCTCTCCCTCTCTCTCTCTCTCTCACTCTTTCTCACATACACACACACACACACACACACACACACACACACACACACACCAACAAGCCGCCGGCCGTCTGCACCTGCATGGCCAAGGAGGCGTGATGGATGATACTACGTAGCATTTTATTACCAAATTATGACGGTCTCTCTCTCTTTCTCTCT